ACAAGAAGACCCTCGGGACGAGGTTGGGGGTTTTCATTTGCCTAATTGTTTTACTCATGGCAAGTGGCAAAAAGGGCAACAAATGCAAGTTAGTGGAGCCCTATAACTCGTACGGTCAAACCTCTTTAATACAACACCAAAGGGACAGAACCAAGTGTCCGCTTTACAGAGATGTCGGTATTATAGTGGTAGGGAATGTATGATTTTTGGCATTAGAGAGGTGTCCGTATTATAGAGGTGTCCGTAAAGAGAGGTTAGACTGTAGTTGCCAGTTGAACACTTAAAACGTTTTCAAAGTAGTCAGTATAGAATTTCTTTGCGTAACGATGTCAATTAAAAATCATTTGGAAAGGCAGGAAGAACGTCTCAAACGATAGAATTAGACAATAGACGCATCTTAATATGCACATTTATATTTAGCTGTCATTGTTAACCCAACAATATAAATAACGCATAACAATTAAATTCTCGGTCTTCAGCCCTACAGGATCCCAGGTGTGCTGTGTAATGAACGCATGACGACAACGTGGCCTGTAAACTTTATAAATAACCGGCTGTATGCTGTATCATCACACGCAGTTCACGCTGAATTTACCGCCTCAAAACTTACACAATAACAAACAACGAATGAGTATTACATGACGCTACACACGCAACCTTTGAGGTCAGATCTTTTGTTACTCGTTGGTGGTCTTAATCCGTTGATAATAGCTTCATCGAAAACGGATTTCATGTTTTTTTGAGTGACCGCCGAAGTTTCAATATAGCAGACGATTCCAGCCTTTTTCACAAAGCTCTCGGCTTTCTGACCCGTAATAGGCTCTTGTCCAAGTTTCGAAAGTCGTATTAACTCTTGTACATCTGTCCTCAAGTCACAATGCGTCCCAACAAGAACGACAGGCACAGTTCTCGAATATTTACGTATTTCTGGGAGCCATTTTTGTGAAACGTTCGCGAAAGATGTCGGAGAAACCACAGAAAAACAAATAATAAACACATCAGTAGAAGGATAACACAGAGGCCTCAAAGCATCGAAGTCCTCCTAAAAAAAACAGAACAAACAAATTAATACTCTTTAACGAGCGAGTACAATTTTTTAACACCATCATATGTGAACGTAAACAACAAAACTTGTACATCGACGCTCATAAGTGAGAATTTTGGAGGATGGAACCGCACGCACGAGCCATAATTATAAGCTTAGGTTTATGAGCTGCTTTATTCTAATTGCGTCTTTACTCGCCCAGCTGCCGGTTTAATTGAGCGTTAAATTCATTTTTAACAAACAATATGCTTTACACAAGCAAAAACAATATTTTCATTACTAAAACTTCAAACTTAATTCTGGACTTGACAACTCTTTATATCTAAAATTTCGTAACCTTTGCGCTCACAAAATATTCATCATAAAGACAAGCTTTATCAACTCACCTTTCGTGATAAATAATAATCTCTAAAAATAATAACGTAGAAATAATTCATAACAAAATTTGCTGCGTAAAACGAAAGAAAAACAATGAAGACTTGCCTGGCCTGCTGTATCGCAAAATTGCAATGTATACGGCACCTTGTCGACTTTAACTGTTACTAAAATAAAACAAAATAAATAATAAATGAATTGAGGATTCTTTCAACCGCAGGAATGGACATAAAATAATTCTTTGTGTGCTTTTACTTACCGCTATAATCATCGAAAGCTGTGGGAATATAGTTATTAGGAAATCCGTTCGTCAAGTAGCTAACCAGAAGCGATGTCTTTCCTACCCCGCCATCGCCAACTAAAACACATTTCACAACCCTATTTTCGGGTTCTTCGACAAGCAGTTTCCTTTCGTTGTTCTTCATTTTATTCTTTCACAGCATGGACCCTATTTGGCGTCATAAAGTACACATCCTCGATACTCTCCGCTGTTTGACACGGAAACTACTGTATTATCAGTAACTATCACACAGGAAAAACTGTGGTCGACCTTTAATCTTGTTTACCGGAAATGATGTCAGTGGTTGCATGTGCCTTGATTGGTTTGTCACGGATAACGAACGACTTCCTGAATTTCTGGTCTAGATCAGCAGTAGATAAAACACGTATTTGTTTTTCTTCACAACAACTGGACAAATTGTAGTTAACAAATTATATTATTTGGAAACAAATTGATGCAGTATCCCATTTAGCATTGCCAGTTCAAAAGAGGGTTGGAGCGCTTTCTACCATTCTTTTTACAGACGTTTTACAGACGAGCAATCTGAGTTTGGCTAAGAAACTTAAGAGGAACTGCAAGAGTTACCAAAGAGCGCCACCAATATGGACTATTAGGACTATTAGCTAGCAATCAACTTCCAATATCAGCGACTACAGAAGAAAATTCTTTAGGCTGCTTGGTTATTAACGGCCCTGATTTTAGCATTGATAATATAATTCTGGGCCCAGTTCGGTCTGAAATCAGCGCTGATAATCGGCCGAAATGGATCGAAGAATTTTCCTGTAGTTCACAATATATACATATTTCTAAAGATTTTAAAGAAAAATGATTTTGTTGCCTGATTTTATTACAGACCGAACTGTTCTTACTTGGCCCTACTATCAATACTCAGCGGATGGAAAGGGAGAATAAAAGGACTGACAAGTTAATAGGTAAATCCGGCAATGCTCCTGGATGCAATGGAAAGGAAAACGCAAAGATTTTTTGGGTTTTTGTTTCTGATTTCTGAAGGAAGGGGGGGACAGATAGATGTATTATCCATGGCTATGATTGCATTATTAAACTGATCTTATTCTAGTATTTTATGCTATTTTTCCAATGTTACAGAGAACAAATAAAGTTTTCCTTTTCATAATAGGGTGTCATTTTTTCGGCTTTGTTTCTCATTTTCTGAAGGACTGTGAAATAGGGTTAGGGTTTATAGCCACAATCCAAAATTCTCGAGGGGTCTGTGATCACGTCAGATACTTACGTATCATGATACTTACATGCTTACTTATGGCTGAGACACCGCCCCTTTTAAAAGACCGAGTGCAAGTCTTAAAGGGCGAAAAAAAAAGAAAGAAAGAAAGAAAATAGCGGCAAAGAAATGTTTTCTTGGCGTCGCCATTTCAGCATTTCGCTTGTTTAGAACGTTCACCACTTGCTATGCCCTTTGGGTCTTCGAAAATGGAACGTCCCAAGGGGCTCTCCCCCCAGTCCTTTTATTTATCGCCCGTTTAACCGTGCCCTCACTCTCTAGTATCTACCCCTGGTTATTATCACTTTGTTATTTAACATTGCAACATTGAAGCCAACCTCGCTCCCATGGTCTACTCTTTAGTGGCCGACCCCGCGCCGTCACATTGACTGTGAAGACAAAGGCCCCTAAAAATGGGTAGTGTTAATTTTTACCGAATTTTTTAGATAGTTAAAGCTAACAATAAAAACATGTTTCGAATTCACTGGAGACGAATCTTTCGTTTGAAATTTTTCAAGTATTTTCACCCTTGTAAACATATTGAACAAGAACACGTTAATAAACGACTTTAATAGGCTATATTTACGATGACGACATTACCATTACCATTACTTTTATTCTGATAGCTACAGTAAAATGACGTCATCGTCAATTGTCCAATTATTATCAATTACAGTCCTAAAGGTTTCAAATAGATAAAAGACGGTCAAAATTCTTTCCTAACTAAACAAGGTTATTTTCACCTCACTTCAAATTTAGAAACAGGCCCACCTTGGGTGCCAAAGACTTTTCATGCGCGGTTTCTAATTTCGGTCAAGTCTTCGATAGTAGGCTGATTTAGCAACAGGACGGGAACGTCAGTTGACAACGGTGCGCGCAAATCAAACAACTGTTGACCAATGGCAGAGCGGCAAATTAGGCACCGGAAGTCGTGTTTAGTCCTTTCCGCGCGCTTTCCCGTTGCCAACTGATGTTCCCGTCCTGTTGCTAAGAAACTGCGACGGCGACGGCAAGGAGAACGTCATAAAAGCAATAGGTTTAATGAGCAAAACAACAACTCTGAACGTGCATCACGCTTTTTTGTACATTTCTTTTCTGTCCCTGCTAAACTACAACGTTTACTTGAGAACAGGAACGGCAAGGTGATAAATTCTACCATCTCTGTCTAAACTCGTGCGCGCTTCCCTCCCTTTATCTCCAACCAAAATTCCCTTCTTTTAAGTAACAAGGCGAATTGGGATAATCGCGAAAAAGTTTTAAAATGATGCGAAATCTATTTTTCTTCGACGTCATGGACCTCGCCGTTGTCAGATCGATCGTAAGGTCAATCAGCCTAGTGACCCACCCGGTCTAGGCAAATAGGTAAATTCGCCCGTTCCCTGAAACTTTTTTTTGCTTTGTCAGGCCGAGTTTTGGAAGTTTGATTTGTACATTTATTCACGTGGTCCTGGATTTGCCACAGCAGGAATAACATTTTGATTCCAGGCAATTTGAAAACGAAGAAGGAATTCACGTCAAAAGACCAATAAACGTTCATTCGAGTTTTTATTTTTCTTGCGCTCCGTGAAAGGTTTTATACGTATACGTTTTAAACCTTACATAAAATAATTAGTAGTTATTAAAAATCTTGGGTGAGCACGTACTAGTCAGTTCTACCTTGTGAGACTTCGCCCATATTAATCGTTTGAGTGGCCCAACCCACAGTGTCAAGCAAACGTCGACAAAACACACGATTCTCTTTCAGACATTTTGCTTTCTCAAATCCTCTCAACAAGTCCCCTGACCTTTTTTCACATTGATAGCTGTACGTGCATCACATCGACTCCAGTCAGGTGCATTTCAAATTTCAGTCCGGTTCTGCCTTAATTTTTAAAGACTTTCCAGTCGTTGCCGTTTTTTCTGAGAGAAATTTAGACACCAGATCATAAACAAAGAAAATGATTCCGTTGGTGGGAAAGGCTCGCAAAAGTGTTGGTCCAAGACCAGTAAAGAACCCTCTAAAGCCTCCTGTTCTATAGCTTTTAATTAAACAGTCAGTAAATCCTTTGTATAAATATTTTCCGTCACTGCCATCAGCTTGCATCTTTGACTTAACCACATCGCACGGAAATGTTGAAGTCCAGGAAATCATTCCCGCTAAACCACCCGCGATTATTGGAGCCAGAGGCCCTACATTACCACGTGATTCCGGCGCAGACAGTATATCGAGAAGGATTTCGTATGAGGCGAAGTACACCACAAAACCAGGAATATCTCGAATAACAAGTGGAGACATGCCTTGGAAAATCCCTCTGCTTCCGGTTGTTTTGTAAATTTTGCGAATGCAGTCTAAGCTTCCACGGTATAGTGACGAATTGGATCGTTTTGCTGCAAAGTGGGAGAAATAATAATAAACATAAGTCTACGGCGCGAAAATGGTGAGAATAAAGAGAGTGAAACTGAATAGAAAGCGCGGGAAACCATCTCACGCGAGGAGATGCGACGCGAGCAGGCTATTCACGCGAGAAAAGAAGAAAGAGATGAATGAGTAATCGCAGCCTTAATATAAAGAACACTTTTCTTAAAGAGGCTACGTCACGCTATTGGTTATTTTTTTGCACAGCTAAAACATTTCTGCACAATTGAATTCCAACAATAATGTTCCAGTTTTGTTAAGTCAGGCTATATTTACTGGGCATTGGAACTGTTTCCTGTCGTCTGTTGCTAGAGATCGAAAGGATGGACATGGATTGAAACTTGAAAACATTGGGCCAATTTTATTGCCATGCTCGAAAAATTACCAAAACATGAGTTATAAAGTATGGCCATTGCTCTCTGATGAATTTTTTTTGATATCTTCTCCATAACCGCTCTACAGGAACATTTTATAAATGGGTAGAAGCACTGATAAATTATTAAGTAATGACCTCACCAAAGAATTGACCTAAAACAGCAATATTTATACATACATGTAGCCCTTTTAACTAGAGCTTTCTGGAATTTTCTGAAATGAATCAAAGTTATTTACGGCTATTCCAAATATTAACATTCCACTACGTGCTTCTGCCGCAATGGGCTGAGTACACGTGCAGTTTTGATGGGCACGTGCGATGTAAACTGACGTGCACGCGACCGCCATAAAGGCATATGCTAGTATGAGATGTATCACGCCAATATAACAACGAAGTCAATTTTAACTCGTGCTCACAGTATCGTCTTCAGTTGCTTTTTTCTATATCTAGACGAAAACCCTTGAAAAGTAAAATGCGCTTAGTATCGTATCACGACACAGTAAACGAAGTTTGTTGAAAGTTGATCGTCTGGGTGAGGGTAAACCTGAAAAGTAATGTTATTTGACAGTCGTTTCCACAATAGTCGTGTTCAGATCTCATCAGTTCATGGTATTTAAGTCTGGTCATTGATCTGAATAGTCAATGAAGTCGCAAAGTTACTTTCCCACTCCATAACCATGGACCTAACACTTAAATCAAAGGGACCGGAAGAAATTACTTTGTAACAACTTTTGGAGTTCATATCACGCTGCTGTAATGTATGGAAGCATTAGCCACCAAAAATACCGCCAGGACATGGTTAAAATCCTTTATGAGATCCTGGGCGTGACTTCTGTGTCAAAAAGACAGTAATGCCCCTCGAAAAGTAGAAGAGGCTCGACCATGGCTCTGCTTTACAATACTCGTCACATTATTTTGTTGAAGCACTTGTCACGTTAAACCCTCCCAAAAGTTAATTTCAACATTGGGGAAGCTGGGTCAAGGGCAGAGGGAGGAGGGGTTGGTTTGCCAAACTCTTACATCAGCAAAAGGGGTATAAAAAGCTTGTACAGCTGTATAAACTGTTCAGTGTATAAGAATAAATTTTTACGATACACAGTACAAAAATAAACTATGCAAATTACACTTACACTGTGTTTGCATCTGTAGTTTAATCTTGACAAGTTCCATAGGACACACGACCCACAGCTGGGCTGCACCAGAGGCAGCAGCAGCAACAGAGATGTGAGACAAGGATGGCTTTTCATCCTGCTTGGAAGATAATAAGTTTAAAACATTGCCATACACGCCAAATAATACAGCATTCTGTAATGCCACAGCTGCTAGTGGAGGGGCCATGCCTTTAAATAAGCCAAACACCTGTGAAAGGTACAATGTGAAGAGTTAAATTCACTGTGTTCAAAAATTGCCGTGTATGGAGAAGCAACTGTTAATTATATTTGTTTGTTTAAATGATCATCAAAACAATGTGCCTCTGCTTCCGGTTTTAGACATGCTCATGATTGATAGTTAGGAGATACTGCATGAACAATAAATGAACATGTGTCTTTTCAGAGTGTTATGCATTGCGAACAGGGGTCGATTTTATTTTTCAATAATAAAACTTTTACAAGTGTAGTTTACTAGTGTAGCTATAATATTTGTTTTAGAGTCTAAAAACAATAGCTACACTTGTAAATTACACTTGCAAATTAGTTTTATTAAATTGACCGTATTCATGTTGATGTTTTATCATGTCAAGCTAAAACCTTAGCGTTAGCGTTCAACCATCGACTCACCGACAAAGGAAGTTACACATAGTTTGATTTGCTTTGGTTTGAGCCAAAAAGACATGCAACTCAAGTTAAATCAAATGCACATCTCATTAAAAATTGATAATTGCATTCTAGTATCCCAGATCACCTTTGTTACAGTTTCACAAATAAGTTGTCTATGAAGCAAGCCAGGAAATGCTATCCTTCTGTTACTGCTAAAATTGTACAATTTTTGTCCAAACAGTAATGCAATGTTTCCCATGCCAAATTTGTATCTTTAAGACAGAGCCAAATTTGCCTTTTGCAATTAAAAGTGGCTTATGAGTTCAGCCTCACATATCATTTTATCCTGCTGACGACAATAACCTGCCTTTGTAATCATAACTATAACAAAATTGTCAAATCTGATTGGTTATCAACTGCCCTGATTTCAGCCTTAATTGGATAGTTTAATGGGACAGTACGCGCCATGCCCTGTCATGCCCTCATGATTAAACAAATCGGACTCCCGCTACGCGGTTGTCTGATTTTGTTAATCACTCGTATGATTACAGACCGAATTGGACTCCACTCAGTCCTGTTACTATTACATAGAGGCATAATTTTTCTATATTTACAACAACAACAACAATCTTTATTTGTACTCACTCTCTTGCTCAAAAAAATAGTAAGGCAATGAAAATATTAAAAGTAAAATTAGAGTAATGGCTGCCTGGAAAAAACATAGGGGCTAGTGGAGCCACCCCTACCAAACCTACATATACATGTGACAGTATATGACATGTGACAATTATTTTCCAGGCAGCCAGTTGATCAGCATTAAATAGAAATAAATTAAAGGTCAGCAAGATAACACTGACCACTGGCCACTCTACTCACTGTTTCATGCTTGACAATGTTCATGAAGCAGGAAAAGGAATTGGCAGAAGACTGTTTGGTCCCAGTATTCAATACTTGCATTCTGACCTTTGACAACAAACAAAAGTTTCAGATGAAGGTCAGTACATCATGTACCGCACAGTAACTGCAATGTAGTTCTTGCAGCATTTATTACAGTACAGTTAACTTAACTGGAGCCAACCATACTTTAAAACTAAAAGAATGTCTCCTTTTTTTTAGATCATGAACCGTCAAAGTCAAACATATTTATTGTGAATGTGATTCACATAATCATTACCTTAACTGTGTCCATTGGCTGTCCAACCACCACTCCAGCACATCCTAAAAAAGGGTGTACAAATCAAAATGATAGGCAATGAAAATTAGCATAAATTTCCCATCATTGAAATGTTCCATAGAAATAACTTAACATTTTCAGCTGCAAGTGAACTGTGTGAAAGCCCAAGCTTCCTGCGAGTTCGTCTTCACCAAAATCATTTTCCCCTTCTCTCTTAGGCCAAATCTGGGTTTAATAAAACGTACATTGTTGTATCAAAGCCATAGTTAGCATCAATTTGGAACTCTCATAAAAGTCATTATTTTATTTAAAAAAAATAATTTTCCTGTCCTTTGCACTGATCAATGGTACCTGAAATTCAATTTTGAGTGCTAGCAGAGTCGAGGCTACATGTACTTTCTCTCACTACTAATAAATGGAAAATAGACTTTTCTAGCAGAGAATTTTTTTCCTAGTGAACCTTTCATTCAGTGTTTTCTGATTCATTGATACTATACAATGAGGTTGAAAACTACGTCTTCCAAGATTAAAATGCAACATGTCTGATTTATTTTAGTCTTGTGTTTCAAATTTCAGTCGCTGTAAACATACATGTATTTGGGGAATAATCTTTTTGATCATCGAGCATGACTGAAAAGTCACTGAGGTTTGACTGTACCATAACTCCCAACCCTATCCTAGAATTCCAAGTTCCAATTCCTGTTCTACACAACTATACATATTTATAACATTTTTGCACCCTCCCCCGCCCCAACTTATTTTAGGGTCTGGATGACCGGGCTGGATCCACCACTGTACTTCAGAGGTAAACATATTTTTATGGACATCTTCATGGGTGGATGCAATTTTAGCCAATCCTCAGGGGTAAGAAGAAGGTAAGTCCTAAACCAGCAGGGGGGGGCGTATTATTTAACAATTATTCCTCGAGCCTGAATGGGCTCTGAGTCAATACACAATTGACAATTGACTCAGAGGCAATGAGGGCGAGAGGAATAATTGTTTTAGTAAGATCCAACTAGTTGGTCAAAAATATCGAGAATAAAAAAATTTTAGCTAGTTAAAGCTAGACTTTAATCCTTTTTGCCGCCAAAAAGCGCGCGCTTCTCGCTACTAGTAGGCTATAACATATAGCCTAGTAGTAGCTCAACCAATCAGAATGCAGCATTGATGCTAGGCCACTATTTCACTAAAATGCAATAGCCCATTCAGCTAATGTTATACAAATAGACTTCAGGGAAAGAGATGTACACCATAGTTTACCAAAGAGGTATATCTCCAACTTTCTCCGTTTTGGGTAACTTATTCAACACCTGTTTATGTAAAACACTCTTAAAGAAACTGAAAAGTTTCACAACATAAGCTTACCAGCGAACCAACCAGCAATGAACTCTTGGGCGACCTCCATCCTTCCGAAAATAGCAGAAACAGCGATTATTTTCCTTGATAGTAAGCTATATAAAGAATGATTATGGTTACTGAGCCGTCATATCAGTCATATGGCAGGACAGACAAAGCAATAGTGAATTACGAAAGGTTTCTGTTACTTTACAACTATATGCCGCCGGCAGGATTCCCACTTGATTCCCACAGGTGTTATTGGCCGCGAGAGGACTGTAACCAACTGTTACAACGCCGACTGAAACGCCTGGAATATTTTCGACATGTCTAAGGTAAGGGTGAAGCTGTTTTCTGTCTGTTAGAATACTGTTTTCTAGTTGTTACAAAAATGTCAATTTTGATAGATTGAGTGTCTTTTGAGCTTTATTTGGTAATAAGCTGCAATCCTCAAATGAATTTCAAAGCTTTTGAAATTTGGTGTGTAGTTTATATACTTTGATATGACTGAATTCAATTTCTCCAAATAGTTTTAAGAAATATATCTTTTTTTTCGCAACTCTGAAGAAGAGCCATCGTTTTATTCTGGGACTTTTGTCAAATTTGAGTGCCTTGATTACGAAATGTTGTTGAAACAGGAGCTCAAGCCATCGCTATAACGTGCAATCAGACTAGACACGATTCGCGCGAAGCTGTTCTATTCTTGGTTTGCAACCACATGACAAAGCGGCTATGTTGGGGGTCAAGACAATCAAAATTTGTCTCGAAGAATTTACATGAAAATAGAGTTTAGTTCCCAGAGGAGAAGAGTGCTTTTGTTCTTGACCACCAACATGGCTGCCGTGACTTCACGTGCAAACCCGCAATAAGCTAAATAATTAGCACATTTCTATAAACAACTGCATATAAAAAGCCAAGCTCACATGGTGGCCATCCAAGGCATCTAATGAATTCAAGTCTCAGCTCTTTTAACAAATATGACATTTAATGTATTTTATTCCTGATAATCGTGTTGGATATATCTCAACGTCCAATAACGTTTCTTCTAATTTTTCATCTTCCTTTACACTGCATTTACCCGAATTGAAAGTATTTTCTCAGTTCCAGAAACTCTGTCGACTAATGAAAATTAATGTTGTTTGTTGTAGCCAGTGCTGTATTCCTATTTTAGAAGTTCTTGCTCTTGGAGAGTTAGAACAGGTAAAGAGATTGATTAAGAATTATTTCTGAAGGTCGTCTTTGTTTGAAAAATAATATCCAGGTGATCTGATATCAATGTAAGACCTGCCTTGACATTTTATTGCTAGTTAGTTTCGTATCACACGGCATTTATGAAAAATAATAGATAAAAAATGACACAAATTTAAGAACATTGTAACTATAAATGTTACAAAGTTCTTTCCATTAGAGTAGCTTTTTGGATATTACCCTGGACACTGACTACCAATGGATTTTGAAATAATATGTGGTAGCAGCTCTTTTTTTATAATACTTTCCTCTTGCTTTTCATAAAACAATTCCACAGTATTTAATTGGCCTCACTTTCAAAATGTCTTTTTTCTTATTTTGCAAGAATATAGAAGGTACCAAATTGTTTCAATTGGCATCAGAAGGTCACAAGGAAAGTCTATGGAAACCAGGCGATTTCCTGAAAAAGAAGCAAATTTATGTCAGATCAGTATCAAAATTTTAAATTTGCGTGCTTAAAAGAAACTTGTATTACAAATTTTAACTTTACAATGAGTAAAAGACAGTTCTAATAATCTTTTTCAAAATTGTTTTACTAGTCACTTCTGTGTATTTTTTCAAAAGCTCTTGCACTTAAAGGCATTGACTATGAAACCCATGCTGTTCACTTGTTGAAAGATGGAGGTCAGCAGGTGTGTACTGCATTGCTCTAATTAATGGGTAATTATTTCATTTATCATGACTTATACTTGCGAGGAAATCATCACAGCCCAAGCATTTTTTAATTAGTGCTCTTCCAGCCTTAAGAAGGGCTTGTTTAGTAGTGAATATCCTTTTGTTGGTGTTTTTGCTCATTTCGTTTTTTTTAAAGAAAGTCTCCCTTTCAAACTAGAGGTGATTGTACAATAGGGACCAGACTGGGAGGGATGACCTTAATTTCTCATCAATTTACTGTAGCAGGCCTTGTGGAAAACACCAGGTCCCACTGTCAGTGGATTTTAATTAAGCAGCTTTTGCCAGTTGGTGAATGAAAATGAATGTATAAATTAATTGATAAATATTTTTATTTACTCTTTCTTCTTTTTTAACCACAGTTACATTTTACTTAACTTTTTTCTTGGGCTTTCTGTCTTAGATTTTCTGAAGAACCCTGTTTTTCTCTTACTCTTTACAACTTTTTGTATCTAGTCATAGGACAGGCATGTGTAGAGTCACTTGCAATAGGAAAAGTAACCCAAACTTATCATAGGCTTTATACCTAGATTGGAAAGCTGACTGTGCATGCATGTTCATAAGCATCCTTGGGTGACTTTATTTAAATTTTAAAGTTTATGTTAAGTTCACTTCATTTCTGTATTTGACATCTTATTTTAGTGAAAATTACTTCCCCCTGATATTTCTACCTAATTTTGAAAACGTGTAATGAGTCATTTTTGCAGACCAAATTTCCCACCATCATCTGTTTTATGATACTACAACTACAAACTAGTAGAATTCTCTCTGTTTTTCTTTCACTTGAATTTAATAATCCTAATCATGTGACGTTTAAAAAGAATTTGTACAATATAGCAAAATCCCAGCGAACTCTGATAGTTGTGGCAGTAAAATGTAATCCTTATGAAGAAATTTTGTCCTGTAGCAATCTGAGGAGTATAAGAAGTTGAATCCCATGGGCCAAGTACCCGCTTTAGTGATCGATGGCCACACACTGGCAGATTCTGTAAGTTTGTTATTTGAAATAACCTATAATATAATTGTTCTTACCTTTAACATTATGGTACCTTGCAAGCAGAGGTTTCATATCTCTCTTGCATGGCTTTTAGCATTAATGAAGTGGTCTGCATTGCTTGTAAGTCACGCAGTTGAAAAGCCACGTAAACGACTTCATAATGCTATTAAAGAGCCATGCAAGAGAGAAACCTCTGCTCTCGGGGTAACATTATGGATTCCAAGGAAGACATTTAGGGAAGAATTTCTGAGCCAGAGATCTGTATAGATACAGTTGGACCTCTCCACAATGGGCACCTTGGGACAGAAGAAAGTGGTCATTGTACAGAGGTGGCGGTTGTGGAGAGGTGGCCGTTATTGGAGGTTTGACTATTATGTGACTGTGCAAGTGAGCTAGTACTAGGAGTTGAATGGTAATAATATTATCTGTTTTTGTTCCTTGCAGCTTAGTATAATAGAATATCTGGATGAGACAAGACCTGATCCTCCACTTTTGCCCAAGGATGATCCTCACAAGAGAGCATTGGTATGTTTCATTTTTTCCTTCATTTTATTATATTAACCAGTGCTGATTGAGTTTGAAAGTGTGTTACATGTATCTTTGGAATTGCTCAATTTTATGCCCATTCATACCTGCTAATCAGGTAAATCTTAATTATTGCTGACGAATGATCCATTACTCTGAAAATAATTTATAAGGCCATAATTTTATTAGCCTAGCAGCAAAAAAAAGCATCTCATCTTTTCTGGCTAAATATAGTGGCACTCAAATAACATTATTTATTTATTTATTTATTTATTCAATTATTAATAATTTATTTAGTTAGTTTAATATTTATATAATGGTATTATTGTCTTTTCATCTTGACTTATTGTACATGTATCTTCCAGGTACGGCAAGTAAGTTACACAATAGCTAGTGGAATTCAGCCAATTCAGAATCTGTCTGTCTTAAAGTATGTTGGTGATGAGAAAAAGGCAGAGTGGGGACATCACTGGATAAACAAAGGATTTCATAGTAAGTTTATTGTGGGAGTGTTTCGAAAGTCAGGTACTCAAAAGATGCTTTGTACTTTGTTTCTCATTTTGCTTGACTGTGCTCATATAAAAGAGAACAGAACTTCTCATGCCAAGCATTCAGCTCAAGGATTCCAGAATCCCGCTACTGATTGGAATCTGGAATCCAAGTTCCACTGACAGGAATTCATTATTCAGCTCCTGGAATCCGGAATCCACGGGGTGTAATCTAGAATCCAGGACTGTCTTGGTTTACCTTAAGTACATGAAGAGATACCAAGAATATTGATTATAAAACCAGCATATGTACGGTCATCAAATGTAAAACAATAAAATGTCACGATTGTGATACCCTAAATATATCCCACTCGTTCAGTACAAAATTTTGTGGGAAACCCGAGTTTTTCGGTGAGAAATAGCATGTTGAATTTCTAAAAAAAAAACGTTCGGGCCCGCCAGTCACTTTAGTATTTACTGAAGGTAGGTTAATATTTAACTTGTGCCGTACACACTGCAGTTTTTTCTGTTTGTTTCCTCTGTTTCACAAACGTTGATGTGAACTGCCTTTTGACTGATTATTTGTCCTTACCTACATCAGTGTGTATTGTGTACTAGTGAGAACCAGAGTTTAATATTTGTGGGGAAAGGTTATAAAATACAGATTTGGAAAAAATCAATACAGTGGAACTTCTCCTTTGGGACACCTCTATTTAAGGGACACCTCCATGCAGGGGACACCAATTTTGATCCGGGAAAAATGTGACACATAATCTTTGTTACCTCTATTGAAGCCTGGACACTTTTTCTGGGTCCTGAAACCCAGACTCCATTCAGGGAAGCCTTAGTACTGAAAAAGCACCACAAGTTTGCTGATAAGTTTAAAATTAAGTGTGCACTAGTCACAATGGCGACAACTCATGAACTATCTAACTGAAATTGATATACTGCACTTGTGGGAATTCAACACACAACATCACAGAGACAAGTTAAGCATGATTATTTTTTTTATACAGTCATTATCTAGCTGCTTGAAATTATGACTGTAGCAGATTCCGAGGTAGAATTGGAGAAAAATATTTTATTTCTTGGTTAACTGTTAACAAACCCCAGCCCAACCTCCATTCAGGGAATACTTTCCTTGGTCTCAAGGGTGTCCCCTGAATAAAGGTTCCACTGTAAATGGTCTATTCACTGAATAGTAACTGTTCCTTTCCAGACTTAGAGAAGATCTTGGAGAGTACTTCGGGAAAGTATTGTGTTGGAGACGAGGTAGGTTAATGAGTAATTTAATTTAAGATCGTGATGTTTCTTGATGAGTAGTTTGAAAGTTTTTACCTTCCTCCAGTTCCGATTTAGACGGTCGTCTAAAATAATTATATAGCTGGTAGTTAATTCGATATTGTCAGCAAGGCGATTAATTTCTAAAAACTGTCCAATGGATTAATGTGGTTACTTTCAGATAGGACTTTTCTTAAAAAATAATTTATTTAAAGTGAAACAGCAGACTTCAAAATAGCCCGTATTATCGCGTAGGTGTTAAGAACGTGGGAGTGGTCAAAGAAAAGTCCTGGAGCGAGGGTGAAAACAAAGTCTGAGACTGGGGATAGACGCGAAAAATATGTTTTTTTTCTCTTCCTTTTTTCTCTAGCCTAGCCTAGCGCGTGTGAGGCTCGCGCGCTTCGCGCGAAAATCTCACTCGGTCGCCGTAACAAACCGATTACAAAAAAAAAAACACTGTTTTACAGTCCAGCAAAGTATTACCACTATGCAAAAATATAAATCATGTTACCCACAAAGAGGTGTCATTACGTTAACATAGTTAGATTTTTGTCTGACCAACAGAGAAAAAACTTTACGAAGACAGGAATTCCGGCAGCCGTATGATCGAGGATGTGTTGCTAATAGCAGGTCCGTTTTAGATCGCTCTTGACTTTTCTTGTTTTGTTTTATTGCAGATATCAATGGCTGACTTATGTCTCGTCCCTCAAGTTTTCAATGCAAATAGGTAGATATTTTTAGACTTGATCAAGAAATAAGAACGGCAAAGGGATAATTTAATGAACGGGATATACATTCTTCTCCCTAAATCGGTTCATTCTTCCATTAATTGCGTTCGCTTCAGTCGTGTTTAATCCTATTTGAACGTTCATAAAATACTTAACCCATTCGCCCCTGAACCACCCTTAACCACCCGTG